AAAAAAAAAAAAAAAAAAAAAGACCTAGTGTGTGCAGTGCCCGGACAACACGTCTCAGTTGGGTTCACCACGTTTCAGGGGTTCAGTGAGTTGTACTGGTGGCTCGTGGCCACCCGTGACTCCCAGCCACCACGTGGCAGCACAGGCCAAGACTGAGCTCTTTTGGGCTGCCTGGGGCTAACACTCTGGAAGATTCGCCCCTTCCCAAGCCCCCAGGAGGCTCTGAGGGTGGCCGTGTTTTTCTTGTGAGTGGAATATCTTTTCCCATCCCTCTAGCCAGCCAGCGCCTGCTGGGATGAAGTGGCCCGGCGGTGAGCCGTAATGAGTGCTGCTGATCTGTTTGACCCCAAATGCCAGGCCGCTGAGCGGCCCCGGGCAGTAACTGCTGGTTGACCGGCCGTGGACAAGGCAGCCAGCAGCTCGGTGACCCTGGGTTCCCACAGCAGCTTGGGACCCGGGGTGTCTGGCGTTGCATCTTTATGGAGACTTGGAGTGGGACTGGGGGCAGGGACCCAGGCTGGTGTCTGGGAGCCAGGAGGACGGCCGGGGTATTCCTGGGGCTGAGCCCTGGGCCAGGGGTTGCTCATTTATGGCTGGGGGCCCTGAGGAAAGAGGCCCTTCTGCTGCATGTGACAAGCTGGCTTCTCTATCTGCGTCTCACACACACACACACACACACACACACATCCCTGAGTTGCCACACCAGAGACGGGACTTGGTGGGCTCCCGGTGTGAGTGGGGGCTTCTCTTCCTGGGACCTGTCCTCGAGCCCCTCAGGCCAGTGGGGCCCAACGGAGTGAGCTCTGTCCATCTGTCTGGCTGGAACTCCAACCTAAGAAGTGGGGAGGGGCAGCGTGTCACCCCTGGGCCCCCCGGGCCATGATGGGACCAGGCTAGTGGCCGCAGTTCTGGGACCCTCCCCTGGTCACTCACAGTGGCCCTCTGACCGATGTGCTAGCGAGGGCCACGAGACCCATCTAGCTCAGACCCTCAGATCTCAATTGGGAAGACAGAGGGAGGGACGGAGAGGCAGGGGCCTCCCCTCCGAGGACGCAGCCGTTTGGCCGCAGAGCTGGGCCCGCTCGCCCCCACAGCCGTCACCTCCCTGGTTCTGACCCATTGCCCTGTCCTCAGGTCATCGCCCCCTGGAGGATGCCCGAGTTCTACAACCGGTTCAAGGGCCGCAATGACCTGATGGAATACGCCAAGGTATGCTGCCCCCCGCCGGCCCTGTCCTGTCCTGTCCCGTCCCACGATCCTCCCTCCCGGCACAGCCCTGCTCAGGGCCTGTGGCGTGGCCCGGACCCATCCTCTGTGATGGGGATCGAGCCTGCCCCTGTAGGCGGCATCTGCCACCTGGGCTGACCACATGCACTGCCTTAGGAGGCACCTCTGAGGCACCCCCCAGTTCGCCACACCGGAGGGCGCTGGACTCCCGCTTCCGGGAAGACAGACCAGAGCCCTGCCTGCCACCTCCGCCGAGAGGGTCCCTGGGTGTGCGTCACTCGGGGAACGGCCAGAGGGGATGATCGAGAGCCCGTCCTCTGCACCCCGTCCCCTGGCTGCCAGCCGTCCCTGACCTTTCCTGGGAGCAGGCACATGCCCCGCGGAGCCGCGCAGACCTCTCGCTTTGTGGCACCGGCCCTTTTTGAAGTACACGTTGCAATAAAACACACTAGAAGTTTTGCACCAAGCTCCTTCGCCGCACCTCAGGGGACTTTTCTTTTTCGCGACTCCATGGCAGCTCTTGACAAACAGCCTCAATCAATCAGAGCGGGGAGAAAAAGCAACTCAGTGCACACACCAGAAAATTGCTCAGGTTTTAAAATAGCAGTCGCCGGGGCGGGCCATGAGCTCTGGCCACAGCCAAGGTGCCGCGTGGCAGGGGACGCTGGGGGGACGCAACCCTGCCCCTGCCGCCAGCGTCCCATTAAGACCCGAGTGCGGGAGGAAGGGCCTTTTCTGCCATCTGTTGTTTGATTATTAAGAGGGGAGTTTACAAGAACAAGCCCATATGTTGTCAAACAAATTGTCAAATAGCAGAGCTATTAAGGGATCTGGGCTGGCGGGTCGCCCCCCACCCCCTTGCTGCCACACATGGGACGAGGCGGGTTTGTCTGTAGGAGGAGCAAGTTGGAACCCGTCTAGCCCCACGGCCAGCCCCATGTCTCGGGGAGAGGGACAGAGCTGACCGATGGGTCTTCTTCATTTCCTTAAAGCCCCCACACGAAAGTGGCCCCGGGTTTTTTATCTATTTAGACTTTTTTTGAGGTGGGTCTCATTGTGTTGCCCAGACTAAAGTGCAGTGGCATGATCATGGCTCACCGCAACCTCCATAGCTCAGGCGAGCCTCTCACCCTGGCCTCCCAAGCAGCTGGGACTACAGGCATGTGCCACCATGCCCTGCTAATTTTTTAGTTTTTTGTAGAGAGGAGTTCTCGCTATGTTGCCCAGGCTGGTCTCCAACTCCAGGGGTGAGCCACTGCGCCTGGCCTGGTCCCTGTTTTTTTTCCAGCAAAGATGAATTTCAGGAGCTCGTTGCTCCCTCTTCCTCCCAGGTTTTGGGGAGAAGACACTAGCTTCCATCTCAAACAACCATTTAAACAGGGAAAATTTGCCAGGGAAGACGGCTGCCTCCCCCTCAGCCACCCACACTCCTTCTCGGGGTTGGGAATCTTCACCGTTGAGCTGAGTCCCTGCACATTCTAGAAGGGAGGCAGAGGCAACGTCTCTGCACCCAGGAAATGACCGGAATAACTGAGCAGCCACGAGGCTTTGTCCAAAATTCTGAGCCAGGCGGAATCTGAGACAGATGAGGAAAAAATCAATGGGGCTTTGAACGGCTCTTGCTCTCAGGATCTGCGAGCAGCCGAGGCCCAAGGATGCTCCAGGAAACCCACAGAAATCACTTCCCATCTCCTCCAGGTCTTCCGTCCAAGGGGAAGGCTTCTCGCTCAGAACCTCCATCCTTATTGTTGTCATCGCATCCTTTTTTTTCAAAGCTAAAGTCCAACCAGGCGAGGTGCCTCACACCTGCAGTCCCAGTGCTTTAGGAGGCAGAGGCAGGTGGAGCATTGGAGGCCAGGAGTTCAAGACCAGCCTGGGCAACATAGCGAGACCTCGCCTCTACAGAAAAATGAGAATCCAGATGGTTTTAGCCTTGCTTTAATTTTGAAGTGGTGGTGAAGGGACACAGAATCTCCCTGGTGGAAGATTCTAGATTCTTAACAGTCTTGGGAATGAGAGAGCCAGAGCCAGGCGGAACCCCATCAGGAGAGAGTTGGCCATGGATGACCCGGCAGAGGCCGGGATGGGTGCTGAAAGGGACAGAGGCAACAAGCACATCTGGTCTCGCAGGCTTCCAGCGGCTGGGCCGTCTCCCTGCATCTGAGGAGAGTGTGACATGTGGGCTGGAGTCGGTGTCAGCACCGGTTGCTGAGGCAGCCAGCCTCATCTTCCCCCAAAGTGCTTTTCTTTCCTTTTTTTTTTTTTTTGAGTTGGAGTCTTACTCTGTTATCCAGGCTGGAGTGCAGTGACACACTCATAGCCACCACGCCGTTGACCTGCTGGGCTCCAGCGATCCTTCTGTCTCAGTCTTCCAAGTAGCTGGAACTACAGGCACGCGTTACCACAACTGGCTAATTTTTGATTTATTGTAGAGATGAGGTCTCACTGCCCAGGCGGGTCTCGAACCTGTGGGCTCAGGCAGTTCTGGTTCAAGACCAGCCTGGGCAACATGGCAAGACCTCGAATCTACAGTAAATTTAAAAAATCAGCTGGACGTGGTAGTGCATGCAGGTATCTGGTCACGAGTTTTGAGGACCATCTCTCAACCTTTTAAGGTCACAAGGACCTTCTACATGGAAGGTTTTTTGTTTTGTTTTTGTTTTTATTTTTTTGAGTCAGAGTCTCACTCTGTCACCCAGGCTGGAGTGCAGTGGCACCCTCACAGCCACCTCAGCCTCAACCCACCGGGCCCCGGCGATCCTTCCTCCTCAGCCTTCCAAGTAGCTGGAACAACAGGCACTCACCTCCATACCTGGCTAGTTTTTTGATTTGTTGTAGAGACGAGGTCTCACCGAGTTGCTCAGGGTGGTCTCGAACCCCTGGACTCAGGCAATCCTCTCACCTCCGCCTCCCAAAGTGCTGGGATTACTGGCATGAGCCACCACACCCAGCAGTCGTCCCTCAAAATTCCGAGTGAGGTGGACCAACTGTGTGGTGGCCGTGGTCTTCTGGCCCAGGGTCTAGGTGGATGAGGATGGGTTTTCTCATGCCTGTAATCCAGCACTTTGGGAGACTGAGATGGCAGAATTGCTTGAGCGCAGGAGTTTGAGACCAGCCTGCTCAACGTAGTAAAACCTCGTCTGTACAAAAAGTCAAAAAATTAACTGGGTGTGGTGGCATGCACCTGTAGTCCCTCCTCCTCAGGAAGCTGAAGTAGAAGGATCGATCGCCTGAGCCTAAGAGGTCAAGGCTGCGGAGAGCCGTGATTCTCACAATTGTGCCACTGCACTCCAGCCTGGGCAACAGAGGGAGACCCCAACTCAAAAAAAAGAGAAAAGATGCCAGGCAGGTGGGCCCCACCCCTCCCGTGGCCTCACACATGCCCTGTGCCGTCTCTTACCTGCAGCAACACGGAATTCCCATCCCGGTCACCCCCAAGAGCCCCTGGAGCATGGATGAGAACCTCATGCACATCAGGTGAGGCCCCTTACCTGCTGCGCCCATCGCCTGCCCTCCCTGCGCTCATTCAGAAGAGGGCCTTGGCGAGCGCCTGCGTCAGGATGTCATGGGGTCCCCCACACCCATGGTCCCTACTCTTGTGGAGCTGAGAGGCCTCGGGGAGGACAGACGTCAAAGCACCAAGCTCCTGGGCCGACATTTCTGCTCAGTGTCATGGGGGAGGTGGATCAAGGGTACCTGGCCTTATCTGGGGCACCAGGGAGGGCTCGGAGGAGGTGGCGCTTGGGTTGACAACCTCAAGGATGAAGGAGAGACCCAGCCAGGCACTCAAGATAGAGAGCAGCTTTCAGGAAGGCACCTGAGAGCAAAGGCCCCACCATGTGCAGAGCCCAGGGGTGGTCCTCAGTAGACAGAGGGAGAGGACCCAGTCCTTCCTCACCACCTGCAGCTCCCATGGCCAACGATGATGGGCCCAGAATGTTCCAGACAGGGTTGGCAACAGTTGCTTTGGCAGGAAGGAAAAAGCAGTCCAGACTTGTGGGCACAATGGGGGTGTACGCTGGGGGTGGGGGTGTGCGGTGTCCCTCCCGGCTGACCCCGTCTCCTCCCCTCCCTTCCACAGCTACGAGGCTGGAATCCTGGAGAACCCCAAGGTAAGACGCCCCCACCCTATTTTCTCCCAGCCCGCCGCCCTTGGTGGTGGCCGCTCCGTGCCGATGCTGTCTGATGTATTTGTAGCTTAATTTGAAATTTCACGGGGGGCCGGCCGTGGGGCTGGGGCCAAGCCCTGCCTG